CTACATGAAGAAACAATCATTGAAGAGGCATCAAGACCCAAAGTTGAACATCTAATACCATTTGACCAAATGAGGTTTTATTGAGAAGGACTGCTATTTCTATAGCCATCCTAAACGATTAGGATTTCGAGTCTTGCCCCTCGAAGGAGTGCAAGATTGACTAAGCAAGCATTCGAATCAACAAATAACAAAATAGAGGAAAGCAAACATCACCCATATGAATAAGTGCAATTGTATTAAACCAAATCATTGAGGAGGGTTTCCTGGACGTTCATCGATGGAAACAAAAAATCAAGGAGACCTCGAGAATTGGTAGCCAGAATAGAGAAAATGGGCCCAGTGGCGCCGATTCTCCCTTGAAGGTGGCATCGCTCTAAGTCAAGAGGGTTTCTCTGTCGACAAAGTAACGACCCTTCCATAACCTTTTCTCTCATCTTCCCCAAATTGTAGCTCTAAATCTCTATTTAAAGGTATTCGATTAAGCTTTCTAATAAGGAGGAAAAATCACCCTACTGTGTCATTCGGCCAATCAGAAGTCGTTTTTTCCCCTTTATTTTTCTTGGAGGTGGTGTGTTCTGATCAGATGAATCAGATGTACCACTTCTATACTCACGACCTTGGGTAAGTCTTTTCTGTTTAAGTTTCCTGCCTTTAACCCTACTTTTTGAAGGGCTCATGCACATGACAAAGGTCAAATTTTGTAAGCAAAACGACCTCTTAAAAGTAGACACCCCATGCACCTGAAAATGGGAGAGGAATTGGCGCTTCTGGCCCCAATTTCCCTTAAGGTTACTGACAGTGGGGAGCATAAAATAGAACACGTGCCTCATTCCCTTTTCCAAAGTTTTTCTAGATGTCCCCAACAATGGCACAAAATTTAATCGGTCTTGTAGTATAGACCAAATTTACCTAGCCCTGAGGCTAGAATCGTATTCCCTTGGACCTCACAAAACCCTTACTTCGGAAGCGATGTACATTCTTTTGAGGAAGATGTTGCTTTCGGAGGTTGAGGTTCCTCCGGATTTGCTGAACGAAGGTGTTCAAAACGTAAAGTGAGTGTACAAAAGTAAATCTGAGCTACTAGAGAAGTGAGAGAGCAAAGAAGGGAATCATTGCATATTAAATGTTTCCCCTAGGTCTCCTAACCACGTGCCCTTGATGATCGGAACATAAGAGCTATCGATTTCTTATTTTGTTAGATCACACTTTTTGTCAAAGCATTTACCCGAACTAATGGGTGACAAGGACCTTTCGAATTTCTTCATTGAAGCGTCACGTCACTTGATCGAATGAGGTTTGATCGGTAGGACTTCTATTTCTAGACCCATCTTAAACAAATAGGATTTTGAGTCTTGCACCTAGAAGAAGTGAAAGATTGACTAATCAATCATTCGAATCAACAAATAATGATATAAAGGAAATCAAGCATCACATATATGAATAAGATCAATCATATTAAACCAAATTATCGAGTTTACATGGTTAGAACCCTTAGGATCCATTCCTAGCCAAGCTCCGTTCATCCTCACTTGAATCCGTTCATCCTCCCTTGAATCCGTTCCTAGCCAGCCTAGCCCTTTGGTCCACGAACTCATCAAATTCCAGGCCCGCTTGGAGGTCAAGTGGACATACTCGGGCATCTTGGCCTTACCCCGCAAGGCCGGCAGCTCTTGGGCTGTCGAGGTATGTAGCAGACCGTCTTTTCTGGGCGTCCTAAAGGAAACATGACCCACACGTGCAAGAGGCTACCGGCTAGGGTTAGCCGCCGCCGTCTCCTCCTTTTCCACCCTGCCATTTGTCGGCACCCCCGTCGGAGCCGATTTGCCATCCCTGCCGCCGTGCATTGTCTCTGAGGCGGAGACCTCCCTTGACTTCGCCCCCCGCTCCAGCCGATTTTGCGCTCTCTTCCATCGTGACAGCGACTCCCATCCATTAGTCCACTGTCGCTCGGGTTGCCTCTGTCATGGCCGTTAGCTTTCTCAACTGCTCTTGCATGGACGCCACCGCCGCCAGCAGACCATCTAGGGTTTGGTGGTAGTCATCTGATTTCTCCTGCAGCCCCCTGAAGCTCTCCTCGAGCCTTGCCCGCTTTGCGGCCTGGGTCTTCATAATCTTCCTCAACTCTTCATTATCGGTCTCATCCTCCAAGGTTCCGTCTACTTGCGACCCAAAATTCTTTCCTTGCACTGCCTTGTCTTGAGCGGCCTTCTCTGCTGCAATCATGGACTTGGTCAACACCATCGTTAATCTACTCACACCCTGGTCTAGAGTCATGCCTGACTCGTCGTCGAATCGGGCTCTCATACCAAATGTTAGTAACAAGATTTCTAACGGTTCACGGATTGGGAAAACTAGCTTGATCAATTAGGGATTGATCAAGTTAGGGATTAGAATGAGATGGGGATTGAAGAATTTAGGTAAGGGGGAAGGGAGAGTTGTTGCTGCAGGCTTACAGAAGGAAGAGGGTGAAGCATGAGAGAGGAAGAGTGAGGGGAAGATTAGGGTTTAGTGATTTTGGTTCTGTAATTGCTTAATGGGTAAAATCTCACTAATTATAGAATATATAGTACCACCAATTACCTTCTCATACCCAACTAATATGACTTAACAAACTACTCCCCAATTATTCCCAAAAGCCCCCAAATAATCCCAAAATGTCTCAAACCGATAATAATGAAAATAAGCAATAAATCTGTTTCTAACAGACATTTGCTGAAAGGTGCATTTAGTAGCCTCTATGTATGTTTTTATACATTTGTTGCATTTATGAGAAGTGTTTTGGTACTTAAGGCCATAACACAATATAGGACTATCTTGTACGAGCAATGGACATCATGACCCATGGACTAAAAATGGAAATGAATTTGGAGAGGGTCATCCCATTTTGGCAGGACATTTCGAATCCATTTGATAAGATATTTCCACCATTGGCCACCAAGTAAGAGATATTATGAAAATATATGGTTTTATCGAAGAAAACCTATTGTAAACCCTGATTTTTACCTTATAAAAAGACCCCCTGGGCTCTACTTTCTGAACAAAACTTTTATAGTGGGATCATTATGCATCTAGAGGAACTCCATAATCCATAATCCATAATCTCCAAGGCTAGGAACTGGTGTCATTTATTCCCCAGCTATAGTGCCATTTTGGGAAGAGGACAACTATTGATGAAAGTTAGGTTTATTTTCTCATAATTTGTTGTCTTTAATGTTTTCTGTCACCATAATTGGCTAGTTCAATTTATTGTATATGTTTGTAGATCCTAGAGGTTCTAAAGACTATGTATAATGTTTAATTTAAACCTCTAGGATCCTTGATTCTCCGAGAGAGAGCGCGCGTTTGCAGCACAACACTCGGTGCCATGACAGGCTGCCTTTTTGTTTTTATTTTTGAATGTTTATGTGTACGTTTTTCGTCAATTTTTTCAGCCAACGAAGCCTATTTTGGTGTAACTTTCGTCCGTTTGATTGCTATTTGAATACCAAATTTTGGATTTGATTAGCAAAATTCACTAGAAACATAAGTAAAAATCATATTTTGGTAGAAAAAAAAAGCATTTAAATATGTTCAAAAATGAAAAACTCATATATCTTTCATGAGCCTTCAATGTTCATCGCCACCATCAATTGATGCATTTCGAGCCAAATATTGACCAAATAAGACGTGAACCACCAAAATAAAAGTGATTAACTAATTTGATTTAAACAAAAAAAGTACCTTAGCAATTGTTCAAATTTTATCAAAATATTTGTATCGAATTATCATGAATGAATATATATTTAAATTAAAAAATTTAAATTTAAATTTTCATAAATTAGGATTATTAAACACTAAACATAAAATGATATCCCCAAAGTTGTAGCAGTTTGTGTTTCGAGGGGGCTAAAAGGCTATTTTAACCTTGAAACCCCCCAAAATTTAGCCTACGGTTGTGGTTAGCCTTCGAGATTAGGGTATAGTATCAATACCATAACTCAACTCCGTTTCATTCATGTTCTTGATAGAGTATCTCACTAGACAAAAAATTAAATGGATTTTGAGATATCATACAATATCATAACCTTAAATGGATAAACCCCATAACCTAATTTTCTAAACCCAAACCAGAATATTAGTTTAATAAATAAAAAAAATAATTGATGATTGTGACTTTCTGAAGTACTCCGAGAGTACGTCATTCTTTACCAATATATATACATATATGGTTCAGGCTAGCGTACGTCTTATGTATATTACTCTTACCGTATGGAATGATGGAGGGAGGGGATAAAAGAGTGGATCCTATGGCCCACCTTAAATGTATAAATATCTCTAAAAATTATATGTAAATATAAGATATACATGAAATTCAATACTTATATTTATATCCTTCAATAACAAAGTCATACTAACAATTGACCTACACACTTCATGCGATGTATTTGCATTTGATTTATTTTAATGGTTACATAAAATATCTACACTTAATAGAATATATATTTGTTAATTTCTCCATTTCTCATTCTTATTTACTTTCGAATTCACTCTCTGACCAAAAACAGATGTTAAGCCCTCCTAGCCGACAACGATTGTGACAAAGAATCTTAAGGATTTTCATTAGTGTAGTTACTAGTAAAATTGTTGGTTAAATTGTTGTTTATCTCATTAAGTGTTGGAAGTGTATTTGTCCTAATGTAGTATATGAATAATAGGCTAAATTACACGTTTGGTCACTCAAATTATACAAATCTTTCACGTTTGCCACCCGAATTACTTTTCTTTTTTATTCGCCACTAACTTTACGAATCGTTTCACGGTTGGTCACCGGCCGTTACACTCCGTTAAGTTTGTCCTACGTGGCAGTCAACTATAAAGTTTGACCGTTAACTAGATGACGTGGAAATTAAAAAAAATAATAAATAATAAATTTTTCTTTCCACCTCATCATTGCACTTATTTTGTCTATATAATTTATCATATTAATAATTTAATAAACTACAAAAATGAGCAAATTCAAAGCTCATCTTCTTCACTATCCAGTAGCCACATCATCGTCCCCTCCTCCACCCACAAGCTGCTCAGTGCTTCGAGCTTTCGCCTCTCCTCTTCTCCAAACACAGATAGCGCAAGTACTGACCAATGCTTTCCTCCAAATCAAACCCATCTCTCCTCCGCTGCTCTCCGCGTCTAAGGTACCGCCCGAATCCGCACTCCGACTTACTTACTTCTTCTCTGCGGCGTTCCATTTTGGGGGAATTTTCATTCAATGCTTCCCGAAATTTGCAGGCGAAGGCTGTGACTGGAAGGAATGGCGGCGGTTGCGGAGGTCTGCAGGTAACATGCCGGAAGAAGGAGATACACCCGGAGTTCCACACGGACTCCAAAGTGTACTGCAACGGGGAGCTGGTGATGACCACCGGCGGGACACAAGAGGAGTACAACATTGACGTTTGGTCCGGCAACCACCCGTTCTACCTGGGGAACTGCTCCGGCGTGCTTGTGGACGCGGACCAGGTCGAGAAGTTCCGGAAGAAGTTCGGTGAGCTGACGCAGCTTATGAAAATCCCTGTGCTCAAGGGCGAGATTGTTTTGCCCAGCAGGTAGAAATCCGGAAAGGGCAATAAAAAGTAGAAAGAACAGTGAACAACTCACAACTTGTGTATGGAGGTAAAATGGGTTTCAGATTGGTGTAATTGGGTCTCTGTTAAGTTTGAGAATTGTGAAGTACACTTTGCCCCCGATGAGAAATTGCAGATAACGTGTTCGATAAAATGCCTCCGTAAACTTGAAACATTAGCAGCAGCAGCTGGCAGCATATGTTGATGCGAACATTTGATTTCAGCATCTGAAATAGCAGAAGCAAGCAAATCCAGGGAACTGTGCATGGATAAGTGCAATAGACAAAATTATTTTTGCAATTTATTATTTTTTGTAATTTATTAAATTTTATTAAATTATTAATATAAATTATATAGACAAAATAAGTGCAATGATGAGGTGGAAAGAAAATTTTATTTATTTTTTAATTTTTTTAAATTTCCACGTCATCTAGTTAACGGTCAAACGTTATAGTTGACTGCCATGTAGGACAAACTTAACGGAGTGTAACAGCCGGTGACCAACCGTGAAACGATTCGTAAAGTTAGTGGCGAATAAGAAAGAAAAGTAATTCGTGTGGCAAACGTGAAAGATTTGTATAATTTGAGTGACCAAACGTGTAATTTAGCCATGAATAATATAATGCACTTTAAGATCAAATAATTGATTGATAGATTCATGATGACAAACAATGGTTTTGCAATTTGGAGTAGCTTCTTAAACTTCACAATTTTTTCCACGAGTGACCGCCTTTGTCATGATATTTGCTGGCTTATCGACAGTATTGATAAATTCCATCACGATTAGTCCTTCGTTGATGAGGTCTCGAATGAAATAATGATGCAACTCGATATGCTTCGATCTTGCGTGAAATACTGGATTCTTTGTCATGGTTATGGCTGACATGTTGTCAAAGTGAATAATGGTTCAACCATTTTCACTTCGCTGCAAATCAAAAACAACCTTTTGGGCCATACCGCTTTGCATTTTGCATCTGTAGCTGCGATATATTTTGCTTCTGCTGAAGATAAAGCTATAGTCTTATGCTTCTTTGTGCTCCAGTAAATGGATTTTGTACTCAGGCAGAATATGTATCCTGATGTACTTTTTCGATCATCTAGTGATCCTGCCCAATCACTATCGATAAATCTAGTAAGCTTTCTTTCTGCTTCTTTCATTTACGTCAGGACCAACTTCTCCGTTCCTTGAAGATATCGCAAAATTCTTTTGGCTGCTGCAAAATGAAGTTTGCAAGGTTCATTCACAAATCTTGATACAAGACTTACTAGATGACAAATATCTGGTCTGGTACGTGTTAGGTAAATGAGTGACCCAACAAGAATTATGTACATCTTTCCATTTACTTTATCAGCTCCATCATTGTGTTGCAATTTCTTGTTCAACGTCATTGGTGTTGAGACTGGTTTGCACGTTACCACGTGAAATCTTTTCAACATATCTTCAGTATACGTATCCTGTGAAATAAAAATTTCTCTAGGCGAGAGCTTTGCTTAGATCCCAAGAAATACTTTATGAGTCTGAAGTCCGTCATCTCGAAATTTTTGGATTCCAGACACTAGCACAACATAACCATTGGGAATGCTTACTGAACCACTCTTCACAGCATTACCTACCGTACTAAGCAAGTTCTCATCATGAACAATATATTCATTTCAAACATTATATATTAATCATTCTCTTTTCCGTGGCGCTCTCGGTTTTTATAAAGAGGATATCCTATAAGTTGAAAGCAAGTATCCTTGGAATGTCCCAATTTTTTACACTATTAACACATTGGCTTCTCATAATCAAACTATGCTTCTCTTTCACCTTTGTTAATTAAGGAAGGCTATTACTTCAACATTTTCAGCTCATTGTGAAGCTATTAACAGTTGTTGCTCCTCCAAAGACATATCACGATAAGCCTCCCTGACGTTTGGACTTGGCTTAGAGCTCAACGGTTGGGACCGCACCATCGAGGAGTTGTAATTGAGTCCCATAAAGAAATCGAAGAGTTGATTTATCTCTTGCTTCTTACTAGCTTGGCGATCCCCATCACAGGTGCAAAGACTACACACACAAGTTGGGTCACAGCTTATGGATGCCATCTCGCCAATAGTCCTTATAACTTAGCATAAAAGGTGACAATACTTTCTTTATTGTGTTTTTCACTCCCATTTTTGTTAAATTTCCCCCTTCTATTAAAGCTTCCTTATAAATGAAGTTGATTTCTCTTCTCTCTTTATGGAGTAAAATCCCCCTCTAAACTGTGTATGAAGAACCCTAGATTTGTATGGTAGGTTGAGTGTATGAACCCAAGTACATGATCTTTTGATACTGATTATATTCAATTGAGGCATGATTTCTGAATTGCATAAATCCTGATCACATTCTTGTAGTTTCTCCTTGAACCTAGAAAGAGAATATCTGCCTAGGTTGATAGAGCACCCTTCATTGAAGGTGGTGAATTGACTACTTTAGTCGAGGAGTCAATTCACTGCTCTATACTGGAATTACTCCAGTAGAGGAGGTTTTGCGCATTAGGGCCTCGGTGTGTTTACTCCAATGGAGGTTTGTCGCCTGCCAAGTATTAAGACTGGGAGGGTTTGAAGACCTTTAGTCAAGACTTCAGACTGGTTAAGAACCTTCCGCAGTATAACTATCATTAAATATGGACTTGGCGAACTACACTCGTCTTAACTACAATCTAGGGGGAACCATATCTAGGTGACCTCTCTCGAACTTGAATCACAACTTTACTACTTTTGCTTGCTTAGTTTAGTTACAACTTCACTATAGTTAAACAGCTAGATAACAAGAATTTCACGAAGTAGTCATCACATCTAGGACCCGGGTTGACAAGTAAAGCTAAACCCGCTATACTATGCATTAGTTTGTGGTTACACTTGGCCACTTTCTAGTGTGACGGTATTTGCGAGTCAGGCTCCCACTCAGTACTCGACAGTTTTGAGTTTTAAAGAAAAGGAAAGAAGTTGCAAAGAACAAAAATTAACAAATAACTGGATAACAAAACAGAGAACAATCTCCCCCTCCATTGCTCCCCTTAGCTCATCGCCTAGTCATGCAACTACTCTTCGACTCCTTGTTCCTGCCTCTCTCACTCTGTTGGTGATTCCAGTGCATTGGTGACATCAAACACATATTCTGCTGTGACGGTTAGCTGGTGACGTTTGGAGGAAGACTTGGCTGGCTCCGGTTCATCGTCATCGCCATAAACCCTCAACCATCGGTAGGTACCAGTCAAATCCACAATGCAAAAGACTAGAAGAGAGTAAGAATAATGTTCGAGAGCTTAGCCGGCCAGACCCATACCCATGCGCACGAGAAATTTGAGACAAGCGTGGCATAAGGCAAAGTCGTCCACCAGTTGTTCTCCCGAGGAGCAGCACTCAACATGTTCAGACACATGAGAGAGGAGAGATTTACCTTCTTACCGCGATGAGCATTGACAAGGATGAACAGGTCGAGCCTCTTAATGGTGCCATGGTTGTGAAAGCGAGACAGGAAGATGTTAACCAAAATCCAGCGCAGCAGTCAAAGCGGATTCGGAAGCGCATGAACATCAAAGTTCCCCTTTGTGAGCTTGAGAAGTTTGTCGTGAAAGTCATGGCTGCTAAGTCAATCTCAGAAAGAACACTCAACCATCGGAGGGCATATCAAGCATCTCTGCAAAATCTTCATTTTTAAACAGAGACGGGGCCCCAAAAATACCAAGCGCACGCAGGAGTCTCCAAGACCATCAGCATGTTGGTTGTGGTAGAACTTCCGAACCACAAGCGGAAAGTACCTGGTCGAATTGGGCTTGCGGATGGTGAAAATATTCCAAACTGAGATTGGTGATCAGGGTCTTCACTTCAGCAGGGAAAAGGGAGAGGGAAATGAACTCATACTCGCTGATGGTGGTGGTATTTCTAGACAAGGTGTAGAACTCAACATGCTTCGTGACACTGCTGCAATCCAAGTTCGACAATGTGAGTAGTGTCATTGGTCATCTGAGATCAGTGTGGGTTTGGCTAGCCATTCTCGAAACTGAAAGTGAAGGAGAGGAGAAGAGGATGAGAAGAAAGAGGAGTTATAGTGAGCGACTAATAGAGGAAAGAAACGACCAGGTGTGGAGAGAAGATGGGACGTTAAGGAATTAACGACAGAAGATTGTGGGGCGGGGGAATGATCTCAATGAGGAGATATTGTGTTAGAAACATCGGTTTTCATGCGCAATTACTAGGGGGTTAACACTCTGTGATGGTTAATTTATTGAGTAGAGATGGGACTTAACTGTTTCTTTCTAATGGTACACGTGTAATCCATGCGAATTAACTGTTCCTTTACACCATTTTTATTTAATTTTCAGCAACACGCCCTCATACTTCGATGCAAATAATGTGTGCCACACATAAATTAAGCATGCAAAAAACCTAATTAAGAATGCCATGAATTCTAAAATGCAACCCACTAGACTAGTAAAGCAGACCATTACGTAATGAAAGCTACCCACAAGAGCACTAGCTAGGTCGCCTAGCAATAAGGAGATACAAAGAATGATCTGAATGATGAGATATTGTGTCAGAACCCGCGGTTACCATTTGAAATTAACTTGGGGTTAACACTATTAGACGATTAATTTACCTTACTAATACTTATCTATTTAAACAAACAATTTGAATTTGGCTGTTAGTTGCTTTTTTTTTACTCGTTGGCTTATAACGGCAGTGGGGGTAAAAGGACTAGTTAATTCAATCTTTTTTTCTTGTTTTAGTATTTTCCCATGGATAATTTTCTGTGGCCCATATTATATGCATGAAGTAAAGAGATTTATATCTTACTGCAGGACCTGTACTTAAGCTGATAGCCCGTAACTTTCACAGGAAAAATAGGCAAGGGTAGCTTTCGTTCTAGAGCAGTATAGTAGGGAGAAAGGTCGTATCCACAGAGACTTCGTGTACTAGTACTCAGCTTTTACCTATTATCTAGTCAATCGTTTTTAGTTGATTTTCAAGTATAGGATTTCATACATGCGATAAACAAGATACAAACAAACTATTTCAAAGTAAACTCAAGTGAAGAAATAGTTATCCCGGAAGTGAATCCCCTAATATGCATTATACACACAAGTTGAATTTAACATAGACGAGTGTTCATATCTTAGACCGTGAAAATTCCCAATTTAGTGTTAACTCGTTCGCACATATATTAACACCCTTTCGACTTAAGAAGCATTAACCATACTTGTGAATATTCGTATTAGGTTTTTAAGCT